GGCCATCTAAGATGCATCAATTGGTCCCAACCACCTGGAGTAAAGGAGAATGAAGAATAACAAAGACACAAGGAAAGTATTAGCCCGAGAAACAGAAAGGGCCACATAAACCAGAGATTTCATCAGCCTGAAACCAGAACTAGATGGTTCCCAGGTGCCACCAATGACAGCCCTGACAGGGAACACAACAGAGAGTTCCTGATGGAGCAGGAGAAAGGCGGGGTGAAGAACTCAAATTCTAGTCAAAAGACCAGACTTAATGGTCTGACTGAGACTGGAGGAACCCTGGAAAGCATGGCCCCAGTTTCTCTATCAGCCCAGAACTAAAACAACTTCAGAGGCCAACTCTTCAGACAAAGATTGGACTGGACAGTGGGACATAAAATGATACTTGCAAAGAGTGTGCTTCTTAGCTCTAATTAGATACACGAGACTAAATGGGCAGTCTCTGTCTGGAAGTGAGATGAGAAGGCAGAGAGGGTTAGGAGTTGGTTGACTGGACATGGGAAATCAGGGGTGGAAAGGAGGAGTGTGCTGTCATAGTATAGGGAGAGCAATTAGGGTCACATAACAATAAATTTTTATGAGAGTAACTTGAAATGTAAACTTTCACTTGAACTAAAACAATGAACAAACAAAAAAACAATTTGTGTAAGTAAAAAGAAGAAAATACAGTGATGCCTCCAAATTGAAAAGCTTATGCAAAAGAAAAAGTCAAGAAATAAGATCAAATAGTGCTAAGGGTTATATAGTAGGGAAGCAATGCAAAATAGAGACATGCACGGTGGAATCAGATTATATAGATGACCTTGAAATGAAGGAGAGTAATCAGACTATAAACTGAGAAACGGGATAAAGGGAAAGTGAAAGGAAAGGATGAATATAATGTGGCCAGTGAAGAATGGACAGAATATGGGAAGTGACTATGAGTTAACGAGACGAAGGCGTCAGGAATTAGTCAACAACGGTCACTCCTATTATTATAATGGAAGCACACTGCTTTTAGATGACTCCTCAATATAAAGAATTTTGGAGAAGCAAGATGACAAGTGTGAACAAAGCAATTAGCGAAATACAACATAGATAAATTCCTCACTTGGATTCAAAGATTGCAATGCTAAGTGCTATGCTAGTGTGCTGCAATGAAGGCTAAAGGTTATTTGTAATAATTTTGGTATTCTTCTACAAATCATTTATTAAAAGAATTATTTCATGCAAATGGCATCAGTAACAAAGTATCCCTTTTTGGACTCATGCTAGTAAGCTTTCTAGAGTTTCAGTAATTTCATAAATTTCCTTTTGCAATGCTGTAAGTATACATGAACTAGCTAGAATCAACTCTGAACTATTCAAAGATAATGATGAATAGTTCTTTTTACAGCTGGAGTTACTTCTCAGCTTTAAAAAAAGGGTCAACAGCTATACTATTTAATTAGCTATATGTCTAAATGTTATTCTTCCCTTACTGCCTCACATAATCCTGTTTCAAAATGTTATTTTACTGTAGAAATATATATCAGGTTAACCTATAACCATAACCATGCCGGAGATTGTGAGGATGATGCAGGACGAGGCAGCATTTCATTCTGTTGTACATGGGGTCGCCATGAGTTGCAGTCGACTTGACAGCAGCTAACAACACAACCATATTTACTTGTCCCTCATTTTCCCCTTCAAATAAAATAACAGTGCTACCACAACTGCTTAACATCTATGTGACATTCCAATTTGACTACTCACATACTGCGTAAGAATATATAGACATATATGCATATACTATCACAAAATACATCTTAAAAAGCACATGGTTTTTATTTTAAAGAGAACTTTAGCCACCAAAAATTCCTCGCATCGCAACCCTTCCATGCCCCTGCTGCCAAAAACAAACCCCCAAATTTTAAGAGGCTCCATTTCAGGAAAAATAATTGGTTTTATAAATAATAATACCCCTTTGCAAAGAAAAATTACTTGGATGCAAATGTGCACTAGCATTCTCAAAGACAAATCCTTCTAAACAGCAATGCATGGTCTTAAAAATAAATTTTGCTTCTAAGAAGAAATTAAAAACAGGAGAGCCCAGATTTGTTTCCCAACTCGGCCCCTAACTAGTAAAATAATGAAATGTGACAGAGAACTCTAGGAGGTGGCCTGCAAATTATTTTTTTAATTAAAATACAACCTCACTAAAATTTTGAACGTTCAATTCATGTTAGTTTTGCATCTTTCATTAAAATTATACTTAAAATATTTTGTCTTCCCCTAATCATAAGCTTTAAGATCTGGGGTACGGTTATATAGTTTCTGTTAGTGTCAGATTTCTCATACAGCAGAGATATTTTAGTATTAATCTGAGGATGAACTGAGATAGCCTACCCAACAGTAAGCACTCAACAAGTATTAGTATCCGTTACTCTTTCCACTTGCCTTTTCTCTTTTATTTGAAAACCCCAAATTCCTTAAAAAGCATCTTATTAAAAGGCAGCTGTCAATATGCCCTCTGTATAGCCTATCTATTTTCTGGGTTTATTCTTTGGCTGTTTTTATTAAAATCCAGAAGTAATCGTAGTATACCTCTGTGTTTGAGTAATATGTGTTCCACGATGACCGAAGTGACTCTTGACCACCAATATCCCACATGAGGAAATGAGTGTTCTTCACAACTATTTCTTCAACATTACTTCCTATAGTTGGAGACGTATGAACCACTTCATTCATTAAGCTGTTGAAAAACAGACACCATGAAAATGATTTGGTAAATATTGAAAACCCGATGCACATTTTACCTGTCTATTTTTTTAAGATGAATCAATCAATCCTTTTATTTGTGCCAATGATGGTAATCATTTGCATCAAAAATAAACTTGGAGAAAATTTGTGCAAATAAACATCGAAACACAAAACAACTTCTAAAGGAGTTTTTGTTGTTTTTAATGGAATAATCTGCAAACTTAAGTGATCTGGATAGAAGGAATACTCTGGTTACCGGTTTGCATTTCTGTGGCCAAATATTCCAATACCAACATGCCCTGGTATCAGTTAGATCTGAAGCAATGCTCCATACTGAAAGAGCAAGTTTTTAAGTGATTGAAACACCAATACTTGGCGAAGTAGCAACCAAAGCGCATGGGCTATCCATAATTTTGAAGACTCTTTATGAGCAGAAAACTGAGAGCTCAGCCATGAAAATTAGTTCAGGCCTATCAACCTACAATATAACAGCCTTCAAAAAGGAGCCCCGGTGGCACAATGGTTAAATGCTCGGCTGCCAACCAAAAGGTTGGCGGTTTGAACCCACACAGTGGCTCTGTGGGAGAAAAGGCCTGGTGATCTGCTCCCGTAAAGATTACAGCCTAGGAAACCTTATGGGGCAGTTCTACTCTGCTATGAGTCAGAATTGACTTGATCACACACAACTACAACAGTCTTAAAACGATAAGGTCACAGGCAAATATAAATATATACATGTATTTAGAATACCGATGCACATACCATGTGTTACCATAATCACTGGTGATGCTACATTAATTCACTCAACAAATATTTGCCTGTAACATGACAGTGCTATATTTTTACACAAATAATGCATGCATTATGTTTTTTTTTGCCAACTGTGCAACCTCCCCGTTCCCATGCTATTTTCATAAGCATGCTATGCTGTGTGTTATACGTGTGGGCGAGCTATTTTCTTAAAATATGGTATGTTGGAAGAGGCTTGCAAATATCTCTAGGGTTTTATATATATTTTTTAAATCTATGTACAAAATTACCTCAACAACGACACAATTCTTAAATGTTTATATTTGATGTTTAAAGCTGAATCTTATTAAAATATATAATGTCCAAGGAATCAAAACGTTTTAAAGAAAAATAAGCATTTATTCAACTCTCAAATGACAAACCTTACCAAGTTTGTAGCTTTTTAGCAGAGTGTTAAGCATTGCACAAGTGAAATATCTGTGGAGAGCTGTAAGGCTGATGAACTTCTAATGCAAGATAAGGCTAGAAGTGAGAAGAGCCATACAATTGTGCACAGTATTTTTTAACTGTCTGTTAAAACCCTTGGGGCATAAGATCCATGTCCATTGCTTAACAAGGATCACTTCATTGGCTCTGAAAGAATAATGGGAGGCACTTTGACAAGTGCATCACTGGGCAGTTAAAAAAAATCCTTACAAGTATTAATGTGTTTCTCTGAAAGTCTCAAGCCTCTCCCAGCTGCATGCGACTGAAGCAGTATTTTACGGGGTGACTTTCATTTCTTTTGATTTGACAAGTCTGGCTATGTTAAACAATTCCCAAGTTATTAGAAGAGTAGCAATAGCTTCTTAGAGATACCAATCATTTATATGAACCACAGTACGAGAAGAACTCAGTGAAAACTATTTTATCACCTCACTCAGCATTATAATGTAAGCTTTCTAAAATAAAGTTTAATATTAATTCTTTCCGTGTAGACTGGAAAATACAAAATTTAAACAAAATCATGTAAGTTTTTTTATTATACTTAATAGTATCTCATTCTTATTACTTATACAAAATTAGTTTCAATAATTAAAATAATGAAAACTGTTAAACAAACACCCATACTTACAACTGATAAAGAATGGTGGTTTTCCCTGCATTATCCAGTCCCACTATAATTACTTTGTGTTCTACAAAAAGAAAGCAAACCATAAACATTTAACACTGTGGCATACTATAATTACATACTTTCAACAACGATTATTAGTTAGCGCTCTAATGAGAATCATTCACTGAATATTTATTATTGGACTGTTAAATACAGAAAGAATACCTTATTTATGATGTTACGGCTACTTCCTTCAGTGAGACAATCTAATACGATGTTCTCTAGCTAGTTACCTTGTAAAACAATGTAGGAGATAGTTAAGAGGGGAACACACGGAAACTTGTTCATATATTTAATTGGGGGGGACCCAAATACAAAACTTAACACAATGACATGATTTAAAACATAAGTTTTAAAAAGTCTGTTTTATACACCTGCATGCTTTCTCTACCAATGAAGTTAGCTTATCAAATTGTTTTTACAACTATAAGTTTTGCCACCTACATGTACCAGGATATTTTTCTTCCTTTCACTGAAATCCAATATAAGATTTACCTCACTTGGAATTCTTCCCTCTGTAAGAGAAGCACATACTCTCAACCAGTTTTTCTTTCCTTAAGTTAATTTACAGATACATAAACATTACTTAATCTTTAGTGCTTTTTCAGTCTTGGTTATATAATTCTTTTGAGCAGATACTGTTTGTCTGCTCTTGGTGTAACAAAAATCCCTTCAGTCTACTCCTCCTTCTGGTGCCATGCACTGAAGAGTCACTTCTTCCACAAGTATTTCTCAAGGACCTTCTAACTATTCTGTTAAATGGGAGATATTCTGAAACCTTCTTTGAAAGTAGTGAACACCCCAGATACTGCTTTTTCTAGATGCTTAACTTATACAGACTTCTCCCTTACCTGGGACAGACTGCTTAAAAAGCTACTGATGAACCACAACAGGGTATGTAAGAAACTTGCCACAAGAACCACAGCATAATCAACTGATCTGTAGCCAATAATTTGACACATTTCATACTGGAACCCTGTCCTGCTGAATAACCTCTGATGAACGCCAAAATTCTGCTAATCAAATATCAGGATATATTCCTACCCTAAAGTCTTACTACATTAGCTAAAAAAGAAGGGCCATAACTAATCAAGTTTGCTTTTTACCAAGTTGTTTTTATACCTGAAAGTTTTCCCACCTACATTTACCAAAAGTTCTTGAGATGACAAACCATCTTTGAATCTTCTAATGACCCGCATGCTGTTGCCACTGTCTATAATACTGCAGGACAAATAGACCTGGTCCTCTGAGAGGGTTATTCTTAACTATAGAAAAAAGCTGCTTTGTTAAAAAAAAAAGAAAAACAAAAACTTGTTTGCTTATTAACATAATTCAGTATAATTCTCCTTCTTTGACTATTTTGGTTCATATTCCAATTTCTCGAAGTGTTTCCTTGTTATTCTCCCTTATTACACTGCAAGAAGAGTACTCTTATCAGTGGAGGAGCAAAGACATTGTTTGGCATCAAGCATTCTGAATTTTGTGTTGATAACTGTTTACAACTGAAAACTCCAACCACCCAGAATCTAGAGATCATGGGGTCCCTGCTGGAGAAGGAACCCACTAGTCTAAAGGTAAGCTACACTTGGGGAGAAGAGAAGAAAGGGCCAGTACCAGATGGCTCATTTTCAAATATCCTGCTCTTTGCTTCATGTTTTGTATTATTATTATGATCATAATATTGAAGCCTTCTGACAGTAAAATTAATAATGTATCACTTTGAGAGGTTGATCCCCAATTTCAACTAAGTAGGGTTTACAAATTCTGAAGGTGAATACAGTATAAATTTCATTAAAATTGCATAAGGTTTAATTAACTTTAGAACACTTTCAAATCCCCTTCCCACTCTCCCTCATTGATATGGAATTTTAGCAATTAAGACAAAACACAATTTCAACTCTGTCTTATGATGAATGTATGTACATATATCCTTCAGATAAGCTGAGGCATATATTCGGATATTACAATTATCATCAATAACCTGATTCTGTATAAATCATCATCAATAAAAAAGGAAAAACTAAATGCTTTCAAGAAGCATGAAAAAACTCTGGTTTCTTTTTGTGTGTGTGTGCATTAGGTGAAAGTTTACACAGCAAATTAGTTTCCCATTCAATAGTTTGTACATAAAGTGTTCCATGACGTTGATTTCATTTCTGACAATGTGTCAGCACTCTCCCCATTTCTGTCATGGGTTCCCTGTTTCCTTTCGTCCTGATTTTCTACCCTTTCCCACCTTCTCATCTTTGCTTTTGGGCTAAAGTTGCCTTTTTGATCTTTAGATTGTTCTAAGGAACACGTTCCTCTCGAGTGTTATTATTTTATGGGTCTATGGTTTGGTTGAAAGGTGGTCTCTGGGAATGGCTTCAGTTCCAGTTCAGAAGGGTGTCTTAGGGCCACAGTTTCAGGGTTACCTCCAGTCTCTGTCAGACCAGTAAGTCTGGTCTCTTTTGTGAATTTGATTTTTTGTTCTACAATTTTTCTCCTGCTCTGTCTGGAATCTGGGTTTATTTTTAATCTTTTCTTTGAAATATCTCTTTAACATCATCTATACAGTAAGACTGAAAGCAATTTCAAAGGTCATCTACTAAAATATCAAGTACAAAATAAAAGCTGTTTGTACTGTGCCATACTGTAATTCTGCCTTCAACTGCCTTCACTGCACTTAGCTGCTACTTGAATGAAATGAATGGTAAGAGGAGTTTGGGGATACAGTATGGAATACATTTCATTCATCATCTTTATTAGTAAATGATTCATCACTCCTTTATCCTTCAACTTTCATGTGTAACTAGTATAGCATAATCTAATAAAATATCGGCGTCTAAGGTAGAAATTGAATTCAGTTGGTATGTCAATGACCAAGAACTTTAGTTCACAGAAGTAAAGCTTTTACCCATTCAAGCAGCAATGAAAAATAGAGAAAAGAACAAACATACACACTCCTTATTGTAAGCAGAAAATTCAATTAACATGTTGTTTCAATGTCCACAGGTGGTGTCTAGATTGATAAAGAACAAAGCTACTTCAAGGTATTATTGAATTCACAGTGGTTTTATCAAATTTTCACATCAATAGATACCAAAAGCATAACTTACTATCATGTAATATTACTTGATGTTCAAAGAAGCCCTCATACTTGAAAAGCATGACTTAGGGTACCTGTTCTGTGCTGCTGTCTTCTTGGTTGGCATAATCAATAGGTCACAAAAAGATCTTATTTTTTGTAATGAAACACCACAAACACACACACAACTAAACAATGTAACTGTCAGAGGGATTTTCTGAAGCATTGCCTTGATATAAATAATTTCCTTCATGTACCATGGCTAACTAAAGCAGATGTAGAATGATAATTACTAATTTGTACTATTTGTATTAACCAGCAGTAACTTTTATTATTTGCATACCTAATAGGTTAAAAAGAAAATTTCAAAATATTTGTAGTTATTTGTAGTTCAAGTCTGTCTCACTTAAAAGTGATAAGGGATCTATTCCAAAGGTCAGATTTTGAATTGCTGCCAATCAGATGACATTAGACATTTAATATTATTTTTACTTACAGAGTAGAGAGTGTATGTTTGTTTCAATGGAAGTCTAAAGTTGTAAGGAAAAAAGGTATACAACTGTGTGTTTTCAACTGATTTTCAATGTACACAGGTAAATTATACCTTCTTTACTCTAACTCCTCAAACCATCCTACATAAAAACTAAATGTTTAGTTGATGAAAACACGATCAATTCTCAATTAGCCTTACATAAGCAGGAAAAATTATAACATAGAAAATACTACTTTATTTAGAACAGATTTAGAATAAATTCTGAAAATATAATTGTAGCAAATTTACTTTGTTTTTGATGGACATTATTTAAATCAGCTTGCTGACACAGAGTACAAGCTACCCATGCTTTAGGGCAGAAATGTGTGTATGTTGGAGATGGGGTATGTACACTTTTTTTGTGGATAGTCAAATAATTTTGTGTTGAGACATTACCATGAGTATCTGAGTTAAAGTGAATCAGAATGTTTTAAAAATGTGTGTGCATACCTGGAGATAGTCACCTTGGGCATCATATTACACTAGAAATCTCTCCTAGGAGACCAAGCTGCTTCCCTTTCCTCAACACAGGGCTCAGAGAGATAAGGGTTGCCTGTGTTAGTAATCTATAAATCTCTGGAGCCCAAACGATACACGTTTATGTATAGTAAATGAAGTAATGGCAGATATCAACACAGTGTTTGTTGTCATTAGGTGCAATGGAGTCAATTTCTAACTCATAGTAACCCCATGTGACAGAGTAGAACTGGCCCACAGAACTTTCCTGGCAGTTCAGTAGTTAAGTGCTCAACTGCTAATGGAAAGATCAGCCACCCTTGCATACCTGGTATGAATCCCACTTGGTCATGGTGTATTATGTTTTTATATGATGCTGAATTCTATTGGCTAGAATTTTGTTGAGAATTTTTTCTTTTTCTTTTTTCCCCATACAAAAATTTATACATACACTGTTACGTGACTCTAATTGCTCTCCCCATACAATGACAGCACACTCCTCCTTTCCACCCCTGATTCCCCATGTCCATTAAACCAGCTTCTAACCCTCTCTGCCTTCCCATCTCAACTCCAGACAGAAGCTGCCCGTTTAGTCTCTTGAATCTACTTGAGCTAAGAGGCACACTCCTCATGAGTATCACTTTATGTCCCACAGTCCAGTCCAATCCCTGTCTGAGGGTCTGGCCTCGGAAACTGTTTTAGTTCTGGGCTGATAGAGGATCTGGGGGCCATGCTTTCCGAGATTCCTCCAGTCTCAGTCAGACCATTACGTCTGGTCTTCTTACTAGAATTGGAGTTCTGCACCCTACCTTTCTCCTGCTCCAACCAGGACTCTCTCTTGTGTTCCCTGTCAGGGTGGTCAATGGTGGGAGCCGGGCGCCATCTAGTTCTTCTGGTCTCAGGCTGATGAAGTCTCTGGTTTACATGGCCCTTTCTGTCTCTTGGGCTAATACTTTCCTTGTGTCTTTGTTGTTCTTCATTCTCCTTTACTCCAGGTGGTTGGGACCAATTGATGCATGTCAGACGGCCACTTGCAAGCTTTTAAGACCCCAGACACCACTCACCAAAGTAGAATATAGAACATTTTCTTAATAAACTTTGTTATGCCAATTGACCTAGATGACCCCTAAAAGCATGGTAGCCAGACCCCTACCCCTGCTACCCTGTCCCTCAAAGTGTTTGACTCTATTCAGGGAACTTTTTAGCTTTGGTTTAGTCCAGTTGTGCTGACTTCCTCTACAGTGTGTACTGTCCTTCACTTCACCTAAGATACTTATCTACTATCTAGTTAGTTAGTAAATAACACTCACCCACCCTCCCAACCCTTGTAACCATCAAGGAATGTTTTCTTCTGTGTTTCAACCTTTTCTTGAGTTCATATAATAGTGGTCTTATATAATATTTGTCCTTCTGTGACTGATTAAATTCACTCAGCATAATGCCCTCCAGATTCCTCCATGTTATATTTCAGGGCTTCATCGTTGTTCTTTATTGTTGCGTAGTATTCCATTGTGTGGCTATACCGTAATTTGTTTATCCATTCGTCTGTTCATGGGCACCTAGGTTGTTTCCATCTTTTTGCTATTGTGAACAGTGCTACAACGAACATGGGCATGCATAAATCTATTCGTGTGACGGCTCTTATTTTTCTAGGATATATTCCAAGGAGTGGGATTGCTGGATCATATGGTATTTCTATTTCCAGCTTTTTAAGGAACTGCCAAACTGATTTCCAAAGTGCTTATACCATTTTACATTCCCACCAAGAGTGTATAAGTGTTCTAGTCTCTCAACCACCTCTCCAGCATTTATTATTTTGTGTTTTTTGAATTACTGCTAGCCTTGTTGGGGTGAGATGATATCACATTGTAGTTTTGATCTGCTTTTCTCTAATGGCTAATGATCGTGAGCATTTCTTCATGTGTCTGTTAGCTGCCTGAATATCTTCTCTGGTGAAGGGCTTGTTCATATCCTTTGCCCATCTTTCAATTGGGTTATTTGTCTTTTTGTTACTGAAGTTTTACGGTATCTTGTAGATTTTACAGACTAGACACTGATCTGATTTGTCATAGCCAAAAATTTTTTCCTAGTCTGTAGGTTGTCTTTCTACTCTTTTGGTGAATTCTTTGATGAGCATAAGTGTTTGAGTTTTAGGAGCTCCCAGTTACCTAGTCTCTCTTCTGGTGCTTGTGCATTGTGACTTATGGTTTGTATTGTGTTTATGCCATGTATTGGGGCTCCTAGCGTTGTCCCTATTCTTCTTCCATGATCTTTATCATTTTTGACTTTAAAGTCTTTGATCCATTTTGCGTTAGTTTTTGTGTATGGTGTGAAGCATGGGTCTTGTTTCAGTTTTTTACACACGGAAATCCAGTTATGCCAGCACCATTTGTTAAAGAGACTGTCTTTTCCCCAAATAACAGACTTCAGGCCTTTGTCACATATCAGCTGCTCATAGGTGGATGAATTTATGTCTGGATTCTCAATTCTGTTCCACTGGTCTATGTATTTGCTGTTATACCAGTACCAGGCTGTTCTGACTACCGCAGCGATATAATAGGTTCTAAAATCAGGCAGTGTGAGGCTTCCCACTTTGTTGTTCTTCTTGAGTAATGCTTTACTTATTCGGGGCCTCTTCCCTTTTCACATGAAGTTGGTGATTTGTTTCTCCATCTCATTAAAAAATACCACTGGAATTTAGATCGGGATTGCATTGTATCTGTAGATCGCTTTGGGGAGAATTGACATTTTCACAATGTTGACTCTTCTTATCCATGAGCAACATATGTTTTTCCACGTATGCAGATCTCTTTTGGTTTCTTGCAGTAATGTCTTGTAGTTTGCATTGTATAGGTCTTTTACATCTCCGGTTAGGTTTATTCCTAAGTATTTTATCTTCTTGGGGGCTACTGTAAATAAAATTGATTTGGTGATTTCCTCTTCGAGGTTCTCTTTGTTGGTGTAAAGGAATCCATCTAATTTTTGTATGTTTATGTTGTATCCTCAAACTTTGCTGAAGTGTTCTATTAGATCCAGTATTTTTCTTGTGGATTCTTTGGGGTTTTCTGTATATAAGATCGTATCATTTGCAAATAGTGATACTTTGACCTCTTGTCGATCAATTTGGATGCCCCTTATTTCTTTTTCTAGCCTAACGGCTCTGGCTAACACATCCAGCACGTTGATTAAGAGTGTTGATAACGAGCATCCTTGTCTGGTTCTCATTCTCAAGGCGAATACTTTCAAAGTCTCTCCATTTAGGATGTTGGCTGTTGGCTTTGTATAAATGCCCTTAATTATACTGACGAATCTCCCTTCTGTTTCTATTTTGTTGAGAGATTTTATCATGAATTTGTGTTGGACTTTGTCAAATGCCTTTTTGCGTCGATTGATAAGATCATGTGGTTCTTGTCTTTTGTTTTATTTACGTGATGGATTACATTGATTGTTTTTCTAATGTGGAACCATCCCTGCATACCTGGTATAAATCCCACTTGATTACGTTGGATTACTTTTTTGATACATTGCTGAATTCTATTGGCTAGAATTTTGTTGAGGATTTTTGTGTCAATGTTCAAGAGGGATACTGGTCTGTAATTTTCTTTTGTTGCAGTGTCTTTATTTGGTTTTGGTATCAGGGTTATGCTGGCTTCACAGAATGAGTTTGGGAGTATACCATCCTTTTCTATGCTCTGAAATACCTTTAGTAGTAGTGGTGTTAACTCTTCTCTTAAAGTTTGGAAGAATTCTCCAGTGAAGCCATCCGGGCCAGGGTTGTTTTTGGTCATTGTGAGTTTTTTAATTACCTTTTCAATCTCTTCTTTTCTTATGGGTTAATTTAGTTGTTCTACCTCTGTCTGTGTTAGTTTAGGTAGGTAGTGAGTTTCTAGAAATTTGTCCATTTCCTCTAGGTTTTAAAATTTGTTAGAGTACAATTTTTCATAGTATTCTGTTATGATTCTTTTTAGTTGTGTCTGTTGTGATATCACCCACCTCATTTTTTATACAGGTTATCTGCTTCCTCTCCTATATTTCTTTTGTTAGTTTGGCCAACAGTTTATCAATTTTGTTGATCTTTTCAAAGAACCAGCTTTTCATGTTGTTAACTCTTTCAATTGTTTTTCTACTCTCTATTTCATTCAATTCTGCTCTAATTCTTATTATTTCCTTTTTTCTGGCACCCGAGGGCTTCTTTTGCTTCTCTCTTTCTACTTGTTCCAGTTGTAGGGTTAATGTTTTGATTATGGCCCTTTCTTCTTTTTGGATGTGTGCATTTATTGCTATAAACTGACCTCTGAGCACTGCTTTTGCTGAGTCCCAAAGGTTCTAGCAGGATGTGTTTTCATTCATATCTGATTCTATGAATTTCTTTACTCCATCCTTAATTTCTTCTATAACCCAGTAGTTTTTGAGCAAGGTGTTGTTCAATTTCCAAGTGTTTGATTTTCTTTTCCTTGCTTTTGTTATTTCTACTTTAATGGTTTTATGGTCAGAAAAGATGCTTTGTAATATTTCGGTCCTTTGGATTTTGTTAAGGCTTGCTTTATAGCCCAGTATGTGGTCTATTCTGGAGAACGTTCCATGTGTGTTGGAAAAGAAATCATACTGCTGTTGAGTGGAGTGTTCCGTATACGTTTATGAGATCAAGTTGGTTGATGTAGCATTTAGTTTTTCCTTCCTTGTCTTTGTTGAGCTTCTTTATGGATGTTCTGTCCTTCAGCGAAAGTGGTGTGTTGAAGCCTCCTACTACTACTATTGTGGAGCTGTCTCTCTCTCTTTTCAGTGGTGTCGGAGTTTATGTATTTTGCAGCCCTGTCGTTTGGTAAGTAAGTATTTATTATCATTATGTCCTCCTGGTGTACTGACCCTTCAATCATTATATAGTGTCCTTCCTTATCCTTTGTGGTGGATTTTACTTTAAAGTCTATTTTGTCAGAAATTAATGTTGCCACTCCTGTTCTTTTTGGAGTGTTATTTGCTGGATGTATTTTTTTCCCATCCTTTGAGTTTTAGTTTGTTTGCGTTTTTAAGTCTAAAGTGTGACTCTTGTAGGCAACATATAGATGGATCGTGTTTTTTTATCCAATCTACCACTCTCTGTCTTTTTATTGGTGCAATTAGTACATTTACATTCAGCGTAATTATCGACAGGTATGAATTTAGTGCTGTGATTGTGATGTCTTTGTGTGTTGTTCAGTTTTTGTTCTACTTAACTTTCTGTGCTGAGTCGTTTTTATTTATGTATTTTCTTCTCATCTTTTTCATTGTTG